CACAGTGTGACATTAACTCCTGACTACATCCACAACACCACAGTGTGACATTAACTCCTGACTACCTCCACAACATCACAGTGTGACATTAACTCCTGACTACCTCCACATCACAGTGTGACATTAACTCCTGACTACCTCCACATCACAGTGTGACATTAACTCCTGACTACCTCCACAACATCACAGTGTGACATTAACTCCTGACTACCTCCACAACATCACAGTGTGACGTTAACTCCTGACTACCTCCACATCATCACAGTGTGACATTAACTCCTGACTACCTCCACAACATCACAGTGTGACATTAACTCCTGACTACCTCCACAACATCACAGTGTGACATTAACTCCTGACTACCTCCACATCACAGTGTGACATTAACTCCTGACTACCTCCACAACATCACAGTGTGACATTAACTCCTGACTACCTCCACATATCACAGTGTGACATTAACTCCTGACTACCTCCACAACATCACAGTGTGACATTAACTCCTGACTACCTCCACAACATCACAGTGTGACATTAACTCCTGACTACCACCACAACACCACAGTGTGACATTAACTCCTGACTACCTCCACAACATCACAGTGTGACATTAACTCCTGACTACCTCCACAACACCACAGTGTGACATTAACTCCTGACTACCTCCACAACATCACAGTGTGACATTAACTCCTGACTACCTCCACAACATCACAGTGTGACATTAACTCCTGACTACCTCCACAACATCACAGTGTGACATTAACTCCTGACTACCTCCACAACATCACAGTGTGACATTAACTCCTGACTACCTCCACAACATCACAGTGTGACATTAACTCCTGACTACCTCCACAACATCACAGTGTGACATTAACTCCTGACTACCTCCACAACATCACAGTGTGACATTAACTCCTGACTACCTCCACAACACCACAGTGTGACATTAACTCCTGACTACCTCCACAACATCACAGTGTGACATTACCTCCTGACTACCTCCACAACACCACAGTGTGACATTAACTCCTGACTACCTCCACATCACAGTGTGACATTAACTCCTGCTACCTCCACAACATCACAGTGTGACATTAACTCCTGACTACCTCCACAACACCACAGTGTGACATTAACTCCTGACTACCTCCACAACATCACAGTGTGACATTAACTCCTGACTACATCCACAACACCACAGTGTGACATTAACTCCTGACTACCTCCACAACATCACAGTGTGACATTAACTCCTGACTACCTCCACAACACCACAGTGTGACATTAACTCCTGACTACCTCCACAACATCACAGTGTGACATTAACTCCTGACTACCTCCACAACATCACAGTGTGACATTAACTCCTGACTACCTCCACAACACCACAGTGTGACATTAACTCCTGACTACCTCCACAACATCACAGTGTGACATTAACTCCTGACTACATCCACAACACCACAGTGTGACATTAACTCCTGACTACCTCCACAACATCACAGTGTGACATTAACTCCTGACTACCTCCACAACACCACAGTGTGACATTACTCCTGTGACTCCTCCACAACACCACAGTGTGACATTAACTCCTGACTACCTCCACAACATCACAGTGTGACATTAACTCCTGACTACCTCCACATCACAGTGTGACATTAACTCCTGACTACATCCACAACACCACAGTGTGACATTAACTCCTGACTACCTCCACAACATCACAGTGTGACATTAACTCCTGACTACCTCCACATCACAGTGTGACATTAACTCCTGACTACCTCCACAACATCACAGTGTGACATTAACTCCTGACTACCTCCACAACATCACAGTGTGACATTAACTCCTGACTACCTCCACAACACACAGTGTGACATTAACTCCTGACTACACAACATCACAGTGTGACATTAACTCCTGACTACCTCCACACATCACAGTGTGACATTAACTCCTGACTACCTCCACAACATCACAGTGTGACATTAACTCCTGACTACCTCCACCACAACATCACAACATCACAGTGTGACATTAACTCCTGACTACCTCCACAACATCACAGTGTGACATTAACTCCTGACTACCTCCACAACATCACAGTGTGACATTAACTCCTGACTACCTCCACAACATCACAGTGTGACATTAACTCCTGACTACCTCCACAACATCACAGTGTGACATTAACTCCTGACTACCTCCACAACATCACAGTGTGACATTAACTCCTGACTACCTCCACAACATCACAGTGTGACATTAACTCCTGACTACCTCCACAACATCACAGTGTGACATTAACTCCTGTGTGACATTAACTCCTGACTACCTCCACAACACCACAGTGTGACATTAACTCCTGACTACCTCCACAACATCACAGTGTGACATTAACTCCTGACTACCTCCACAACATCACAGTGTGACAATGACTCCTGACTACATCCACAACATCACAGTGTGACATTAACTCCTGACTACCTCCACAACATCACAGTGTGACATTAACTCCTGACTACCTCCACAACATCACAGTGTGACATTGACTCCTGACTACATCCACAACACCACAGTGTGACATTAACTCCTGACTACCTCCACAACATCACAGTGTGACATTAACTCCTGACTACCTCCACAACATCACAGTGTGACATTAACTCCTGACTACCTCCACAACATCACAGTGTGACATTAATTCCTGACTACCTCCACAACATCACAGTGTGACATTAACTCCTGACTACCTCCACATCACAGTGTGACATTAACTCCTGACTACCTCCACAATACCACAGTGTGACATTAACTCCTGACTACCTCCACAACATCACAGTGTGACATTAACTCCTGACTACCTCCACAACATCACAGTGTGACATTAACTCCTGACTACATCCACAACACCACAGTGTGACATTAACTCCTGACTACCTCCACAACATCACAGTGTGACATTAACTCCTGACTACCTCCACAACATCACAGTGTGACATTAACTCCTGACTACCTCCACAACATCACAGTGTGACATTAATTCCTGACTACCTCCACAACATCACAGTGTGACATTAACTCCTGACTACCTCCACATCACAGTGTGACATTAACTCCTGACTACCTCCACAATACCACAGTGTGACATTAACTCCTGACTACCTCCACAACATCACAGTGTGACATTAACTCCTGACTACCTCCACAACATCACAGTGTGACATTAACTCCTGACTACATCCACAACACCACAGTGTGACATTAACTCCTGACTACATCCACAACATCACAGTGTGACATTAACTCCTGACTACCTCCACAACACCACAGTGTGACATTAACTCCTGACTACCTCCACAACACCACAGTGTGACATTAACTCCTGACTACCTCCACAACACCACAGTGTGACATTACCTCCTGACTACCTCCACAACATCACAGTGTGACATTAACTCCTGACTACCTCCACAACACCACAGTGTGACATTAACTCCTGACTACCTCCACAACACCACAGTGTGACATTAACTTTTTTTTAAAAATCATCTTAATTAAATCTTTCACAATGAAATTGTTTTCATGAGTGCACTTAAATTACAAAAGTACTTTACAGATATCACAAACTTGATGAAAAGGCAGCCATTCCAAAATTGGAAAAATGTAAAATGTTTGCAAATTAAAAAAAAAATCTTTCACAACCAGGAAAGTGTTGTATAGAAAACTTCCTTTAATTTATTCCCAAAAACTTTTATTTTTTTCTTTTCCATTTAATTATTGCATTGCCTTTTGAATACAACTTTATGAGGTTTTTAAACATTTTCAGAATTAATTTGCAAAATAATCATCTAATATGTAGGTGCTATGTTACAGTGCAAACAACACACAAATTAACTTCTGGTAAAATTTCAAAAAAAAAAAAAAAAATCAGATAAATTAAAGGGTAGGGTGTCGTAATTTAAGGATGGTTTCATAAATTAGAACATTTTAGACATGTAATGTCATCAAAATTATGCAATCAAATTTTTTGTACATTTGAATAATGTTTGATGTTGAAATTTCCCTATCAATATTTCCTTGTATCACAGTGATAGGCATCTGTGTATGTCATTTCAATTGTATCAATGGGAATTTTTCAGGATAGTCTGTTAAGATTTACAATCCTGCCAATAAACAGGAAGACGTGGGTTTCCAATTTCTATTTCTATTACCTCGTGACATCACATTGCATGCATGAAACCCTTTTGCTTGCTGTGATTTTATGTAAATAGTCAATATTGGAAGTTACCTGGCTTTTGTTCAAGTCCACCCACACAAGACGAGGTACAAACGGGTTTTCTTAAAGGAGTTAGCTGGACAATTATGGATATGCAGTACATTCACCAACAATGTATTCTGCTGTTTATCAGTTTATTTGAGACATATAATATGTACACAGGGATTTGGAACTATCTTATATAGTCTGCATATGTGTATTGAACTGAAGTAAAATTCTTGAATACATATATGGCTTATCATGGTCTTGTGCCAAGTGCTTTGACTGATTATTCATACATTTATGGTTTTTAAAATGCTATGAAAATAGTTCTTCTGAGAAAATTCTGGAATAATCAGGAAAACTTCCAATATCCCTAACTTTTCTGATCAAGATTTGAAAGATTGTACAACAGACACAAGTGAATAGCACCATTAAATACAAATTTAGAGTTAGATACAGTAGAGCCAAACAATGAATTTAACGGCATCATATAGTTATTTCATGCTAGGGCTCTTTAATCAATGCTATGGGCCTGAATTTTGAAACTGAGGGCCAACTGGAAAATCAAAAGTGATTGAAAGAGAAGTAAAAACAATTAAGAGGGTGAGGTGCACTAGCTCCATAAATTAATAAGTTTGGTAATTTCTATATATCTGAGAATGTTAGAATAACATCAATTACATGTGGTAGCACCTAGGTATGTCAATATTCATCAATACTATCTTACCCATAGGAATAGACGAGACAACTGTCAGAAGGTCTAAACTCTTTGTCGTCACAGATGTCCCAGCCGCCATCATCTAGTTTACCCAGGTGGAGAACGCGGCGACAGAAATACTGAAGGCTGTTGATGTACCTGGATCACAAGAATGTTTAGTCAATTACCTAATGCTTTATTGTACAGTTAGGATAATTGTAGATTTATCTTTACCTTAAATTATTATGTACTACTGAATGGAAAAAGTTTGGATGGTAGGATAAAGTTCTAAAGGAAAAATGCGAAAAAAATTACTAATTTGATTTCACCTGTATTGAAATTAGACTTGTCAGCAGAAATGTTCTGATCAATTCAAACTTACCATCTTATACCTTTAATGGTGTTACCTGCCACTTAAAGCTACCAAGACAAACATACTGATCATCAAAGTGGCATGCAGCTATTTTTCCTTTATAAAGAAAGGTTTGCTTGTTTGTTTGGTTTTAACGCCCCAACAAAAGCAAGGCCAGGCCATTTTGAGGTGGGATCTGCTTGTAGTAATTGGTGGCTACCTACCATATGTGACACTTGTAGAGTGTATGAAATTCAGTGCAAACAGAGAACTGTATCTTGCCCAAGGACACAAACACAATCTATGGCAGGAAACCTCAAACCACACACCTCAGATCTTCACTTGAGCTTGTGCTGCCCTATGCTCTACCATCTCAGCTTTTGCAATGAGCATAACAAGTCTACTGTCTAATTAGTGCAAACTGTATCACCAATAGTTAGTCAAATGAATACCATTAGGCAAGGTACAACGTTTTTCAATTATTGAATTGTCCGAAAGAGTCTTCTAATCAATTTTTCTATATTACTGAATTTAAATAAGCCAAAGGCAATTGAAGTAGCATTACAGTTGATAATGCTACAGAATACCAGACAAGGAGTTATTAGTCCCCTATCGGTGAAACCGAGAGACTATCGCTTTCCTCTTTATCTGTCTCAAAATCCCTGAAAGTTTGTCAGCACTCAGAGTGGCTTCGGTCCTTGAGGGATCTTCATCAAACATCATTCACGTATAAAGCATCAAATTATCTCAGACAATTTAAAGTCTGAGGGTTATTCGGTCAAGGTCACAGTGTAAATGCTTTTGGGGGCTGGTTGGGAACATGAATTACTTCAACAATACTCGGTATGCTTGTTGTAGAAGCAGTGATGAAACACAAGTTTGAAGGTTATTCGGTCAAGGTCACAGTGTAAATGCTTTTGGGGGCTGGTAGGGAACATGAATTACTTCAACAATACTCGGTATGCTTGTTGTAGTGATGAATCAACTTTATAAGGTTCAATGTTTGGTGTAAGAGCCAGAGGAAAGTCAGGCTTCTACTAAACAGAACCTATACAAATATTTCCATATATTGTCAAATAGACCAATATTTGAGATCACAGAAGATGTTAACTGAAATTCAAGGCCACAAACCTGTGATATAGGGTCATGACATCCTGTCGCATCATACGGTCCATAAAGTCTTTAGAGGGTAGAACTAAGGAGTCATTATTCGGGTCAGGGTACAGGTCCTGTAGCCTCTCTGCTCTGGTAAGTTCTTTTGGCTGAAAACATACAAATATTTTCAATAAAGTGATATTATGGTTTTCATTTCTGAAAAGTATATGTGCAATATATACTAGCGGAAAAAAGAAACTGTGCATGTGTAAAATATTCATGAATTCCTCAATTTTATTGAAACTTTACACGGTTGTGCATGCCTCTCATTTACACAGGTCAAAGCATGAGTTGTCTGTCTGGCTCACATCATCGTTTTCACATGTTTCTTCAGCCAGCAGTCAATTGCAAACAGGTTTGTCACCTAAACCTGTATAAAAGCATGGTGTAAATACCTGTAACACACAAAACCAGGATCATTTTGAAAAACATCTTTAATATGCAATGCCAAACTTGAAGGATGCTGACAGATGCAGCACCATAGGCATGACTGAAGTTGGCGTATGTCATACTGACATTGCCAGACAATTTGGTGAACACCAATATATTGTAGACACCTTTGTGGAGATGGTACTAACAGCTTGGCACCACCAAAGACTCCATTAGGATATCCACACGTAACGCCTCATCACCAGAATATGTATATTCAGGTTGTCCATCTCCATGAAAACCTCAGAACTGCTTCTTTGACGGCTAAAAGTATTACTAGCCTTAAAAGAATCAGTCCCTGAACAGTATGTAATAAATTACATGAACAAGGCATACGCCCAGTCATGTGTCCTGTTATCCAGCAGTGCCATTGTGTAGCACATTTAGCCTGGTGTAAACAACACATACACTTCACGTGGCAGGACTAGGCACAAGTTCTTTTCATGCATGAGTCCAGGGTCCGTATTCTTGAAATGATTCTCATGCTCAAGCATAGATTTTATGCTCAAGCAAATTTTTGTATAATTTACCTAAATCATATAAAATAATACAAATGTCAAATTTAAACCTTGAATATAGCTTTGACTTGAAGTCCTTTCAAAATTGTTGTTAAATCTTTGGCAAAATCAGCCTTATTTATTAATTTTCAACTTAAACAAGACATAAAGCTTGAGCATGAGAATGGTTTCAAGAATACCAACCCAGGTTTCATCTCGACAGTAGGGTGTACTGTTGTGTTGGTGAACGTTTCCATGACAGTTGTGAGATTCAACGATGTCCATTCAGCGAAGGCAGTGTCATGGTGTGGGGTGGCATCTCATTCTGTGGCAGAACAGCTCTTGTGGTTGTGGCCGGCAAACTTACAGGCATCAAATATTGTGACAAAATCATCCGGCCTCATGTCCTTCAATTTGTGCAGCAACATAACGCCACTCTGCAACAGATGTGGGCTGACCTTGACTTCTTGATCTAGAACAACATGAATGTGATGCCCTGGCCTGCGGTGTCATCGGATATGTCGCCAACAGAACATGTGTGGGATGAGATGAAGCGTCGCTTACATCGCCTCCAAAATCAGCAATTGACGTTATCTGACACATCACGTGCGCTTGTGAGAATATGGAATGGTATTCCAAAGGCTTTTTTCAGCATACTTGTCACGCCAATGAGACATCATTGTCAAAAATGCATCTATTCCAGTAGTGGATATACAAGGTATTGATAAGCTGAACTTTGTTTAGAGAACGTCTGTGAAAACTGATCTCTATCCAAGACGCTGCTGATGCAATAACCATATCAATTGAGCTGGTGTTAAATATGTGTCAGATAAAACCCTGATTTTTTTACATACCTCCTACGTTATAGCATATGATATCCATGCACAGTTTCTCTTATCTGCTAGTATACATATGTGTAATTTTGCAAAGCAAATGAGAAAATTGTTTCAGACTTGATTAAAGATTCTTTAAAACCATCTGTTATCTAAAAATCATTTCTGTCAACAGTAACAATTAATGTATATATTAATTGAGTAATTAAAATGACATATTTTTATCTTCATAACATTTAATTAATACCCTTAGTCTTTGTGATTTACTATCAATTTGCTAATGTTATATATAAGATATTCAGAAACAGATGAAATAAATGATAAATAATTTACTTTAATTATGTATGTATAATACTGTCTGGCATTTCTATCCAAATCTATTCTACTATACCACAACCAATAATACTGTTATCACTATTAAACACATTATATATATAATATTAAATCCAAACGTTAATGTAACTCTACGGCTGTCATATCAGTAAACTGTGATAGAAAAACCCATCAATAGAAATGAAAACAAATTAGTTTACTGGCTTGAAATTTAAGTCAAAACTTCAATTTCAGGTTCTGAAATCTACTGAAATCTAATTCATAAATCAGAGATATTCACAGGAAATTGATGACTTGAGATAATGACACCAACCTCAGCTCATTAGCTGTGGCAAAACCTAACACACCAGTCCATTTGATTTTCAGATATCTCTGCACATGTACCTGTTTACTACATTTATGCATCATTGCAGTTTTGCTTTTTTCATGCAGCAAATAAAAAGCTAAGACGGATTTCCTTTCATAGTGCTCTGAGTCATCAGAATACATGTAAAGAAATGTCAAAGAATACACCTGGCCAGACAAACAGTTTTGTAATAGAGAAAATATTTGTAAAAAAAAAAAAAAAATCTGCACGTTATAATTTCATTTCAGTAATATTGTTGCCTACAAAAACAACAGGGACCATCTTAAGGGCAGTAACACTTGGGGTCTGGTGTCACCTAGAGCCAGCCAAAATGGCTCCCTAAATATATCAATTTATAGTTTAAAGTACATGAATTCCATCATGAAAATTGGTTTTACAAGAAAATCCTTTTTTCCTTCATATTGCAATGTCTCAAACATACATGCTAGATTTCCCTTTTTTATCAAAAGCTGTCTACATGAAAATTATGAGTTCATGTTCAAAGGAACCTGGATCCTTCTTTAAGCTTTTTTATAACATCGAAGAATGTTCATGCAGACCATCAAATGTCCACTCAAGTATGAGTAGACGGGGTTAGCTATACAGACCCCTAATCCCTTAATTCAATATTGTAGCACTGAATGATTTACCATGAATAGGATCCTTTTCAAATAAAATGCCCTTTTGTACAGTTTGAATGTAATGGTACATTGAAATTTCCACATTTTACACTATGAAAAGAATATGAAAATGGATGGCATTGAAAGGCAAACTTCAATGTCTGTTTCATTGACCCTTGAAAACACACAACATCTAAAGTTTTTTCCATATTTCTACCTCACGCTTTTGACCTGGTACATATTCAGTTGAAAAGAAGAAGGAGTCAATATGGTTCATATAGAAATATCCACCAAATAGAAAACTGGGCAATCATGATCTATTTTGAGGTCAAAAGGGACTGAAAGTGGAATAAACCTTAAGGTCAATGAACGACTAATATTGAGGTCGATAAGGTGAGAAAGTAAATACTGAGGTAATAAGAGCAGATAGGAAGGTCATTATATTCAGGTTGACCAGCAGACATAAGGTCATTATATTCAGGTTGACCAGTAGACATTAGGAGGTCATTATATTTAGGTTGACCAGTAGACATTCGGAGGACATTATATTCAGGTGACCAGTAGACAGTAGGAGGTCATTATAATAAGATTGACCAGTAGACATTAGGAGGTCATTATATTCAGGTGACCAGTAGACATTAGGAGGTCATTATATTCAGGTGACCAGTAGACATTAGGAGGTCATTATATTCAGGTTGACCAGTAGACATTAGGAGGTCATTATATTCAGGTTGACCAGTAGACATTAGGAGGTTAATATAATAAGATTGACCAGTAGACATTAGGAGGTTAATATATTCAGGTGACCAGTAGACATTAGGAGGTCATTATATTCAGGTGACCAGTAGACATTAGGAGGTCATTATATTCAGGTTGACCAGTAGACATTAGGTCATTATATTCAGGTTGACCAGTAGACATTAGGTCATTATATTCAGGTTGACCAGTAGACATTAGGTCATTATATTCAGGTTGACCAGTAGACATTAGGAGGTCATTATATTCAGGTGACCAGTAGACATTAGGAGGTCATTATATTCAGGTGACCAGTAGACATTAGGAGGTCATTATATTCAGGTGACCAGTAGACATTAGGAGGTCATTATATTCAGGTGACCAGTAGACATTAGGAGGTCATTATATTCAGGTGACCAGTAGACATTAGGTCATTATATTCAGGTTGACCAGTAGACATTAGGAGGTCATTATATTCAGGTGACCAGTAGACATTAGGAGGGCATTATATTCAGGTGACCAGTAGACATTAGGAGGTCATTAGGAGGTCATTATATTCAGGTGACCAGCAGACATTAGGTCATTATATTCAGGTGACCAGTAGACATTAGGTCATTATATTCAGGTGACCAGTAGACATTAGGAGGTCATTATATTCAGGTTGACCAGTAGACATTAGGTCATTATATTCTGATTGACCAGTAGACATTAGGTCATTATATTCAGGTGACCAGTAGACATTAGGTCATTATATTCAGGTGACCAGTAGACATTAGGAGGATATTATATCCAGATGACCAGTAATGATTGAGGGAGGCTATTTCATTGAGGTTGACCAGCAGATATTTCGAAGTAGAGAGAGTCTTAATATTCATGTTGACCAACAGGGAGGGGAGAGTGGGTTCATTATATTGACGCTGATCAATAGAGTCATTATATTGAGGTTGACCAGGTGAGGTATCAATAGAGAAAGGTGAAAGGGTTGAATGTTTCAAATCACTACCATTTATTTTTCTCACTTAAAGTTCATGCCTGACATTCACATTATGCCCACATACACCAATCCCAGGCTCAGTATCAACAGATACTATTTCTTTGTCCTAGTCCAGATTATCTTTCAGAATCAAATTATGATACTAAATGCATGATAATATGTACCTTCATAGAAATGTTCTTTACGTAGAAAAGCCTTCAGGCTACAGACAAGCCGCTGACAATGCATGTACTATTTACAGACAGAGATTCTTTCTGGTAACTGAAAATTTCCATTAAGGTATCATTACTGCGTAAAGATCAACAAACTAACAGATATGA